CTAAACCTGTAGAACTTATAGCACCTGGAACTGATCAGGTGCTTTAGTTTGTGTGCAAGGCCATATTGCGTACACTTGAGGAGTTCAACCATTTCTCTTCAAGACTTATATTGAACAAGTTTCATGGCAAGGTACACTCTAATCATGAGATATTGAGATGGATCAGGTCATTTGACCTCTACACATTTGACTTGATAGAACAGTAGGAGTAGCAACTAGTATTAGCAAAGACTCGTGGCCCTAAACAATATGGCATGCATATGCCCAACAACATGATGCGAAGAACAAGGTTTGGGCATATTTGAATGGTGTGAAGCAATCAGTTAAGACATTACTCATACAACAATAGAAACTCTTACCTTAACCATTCCAGTCCCATTATCGACAACAAGGGGCTGAATGTCCTCTGTCTCCGCCATACTTTGGAAAAGCTCTACAAACAAACAAACAAACAAACAAAAGTCCTGTCAGATTAACCAATTAACTAAGCGTGCTTCAGTCCAAAGTTGAGTGATAGTGCACACACATACCAGGTAAGAGAGCCATCAGCCAAATTTGAAAAAGTGAATACAATTTTCGTTTTTTCCTTTTTAACTTTTATAGGGTAAAAAACTATTTTTAGCAAAATTTGAATCTAAAATGACATCTTAAAAGCTTACTAGTCTAATGCATCTTTAACCAGGGTCAACATTTTTACCAAGTGTAACAACTACACACTCAAAACGAAACTACCTATCATACCAAAAACTTGAAAAGATAGAAATCCTGTTACTAGCGCTGCGGAAAAGTTAATATCATGTTTCCATCAGATTCTTGAACAATACATCAGGAAGAAGCACTATCCGAGGAGGTGGGTCAAGATGGTAGCCTAGACTGAATCCACCACTGTGCTGGAATTCTTAAAGTAGCAAAGCATCAGGAAAAGTGGAGCCACAAGCAAACATTCATACATTATAGAGTTCTCCATAATATAATTTTGGTTTTTTTGGCCCAAACTTGATATTAGTGGTGCCTGTTACCAATATTCAAGTTATAAAAGTGATCGAGTAATCTTAAGATTGAAGTGAGATCAACATGCCATGCCTTCATAATTATGAATAACTGTCCTATTAACCGTCAACTAACTAGCATTGAGCAAACCTATGAAACGGGGCCTGGTCTACGGAGTGAATGAAACAACCACTTTCATCATTATTATCTCATAAAAAATGAAGGGTGTCCAGGGAAGCCTAATTGTCAGGGTATCCATACTGTGACATAGATCTTGACAAAGAATGCATGCACCTGCTCTTGGTTTCTCTCTCATATTCTTATAGCTCAAAGAAAACTTAGCAAGCAGTTTAGACAGTTCAATCAATATTACAGCTCACTTTCACTAAAGCTCAGTATGGTTCTAGATGCTCTGAAGGCATTATTTCGAGCAAACTGAAATTCATCCCGCAATAAGGAACTAAATTAGTAACAATGTGCCTACTTTAGACAATGATGTATTGGCTACAGCTGATTGATCCAGAAGCTTGAATTAGTTAGAATTTTCTTCATGAATCGATAAATGCAGCTTTAACTCATTCAGATCTAATCAAACAGCTACCGATCAACTGATGATGACTAAAACTTGAGTCGCTATGTACAGCATCATCATGAATTGATCTGTCTGGTTCTAAACGACCAAGCACATCAAAAGGAATACCCTTTCTCTCCTATTTTTTCGCTTGATCACGTCGAGAAGCAAGTAATAGTCCATAAAGCAACCAAGCCCAAGAGCGTACAAACTCATCAGTTCACAAGAGATTGGATTACCTTCTTCCTTTCTTCTCTAGGAAACCTCCTCGATCTCCCACTTCTTAAGCAAAAGTGAGAGAGAATGGAGACCTGCTACAACCTGGAGAAAAACCCAACAACCCAAGTCAACAGCAAATGCTAAACGTCACCCGAAATTCGATCCCAAGCAGAGAAGATGACAACCAAAGCAGGTAATGGCAATGGAAAGGAACGAAATTTGCTTCGGTTTTCGAGCTTTACCTGAGACCCAGAAGCAGAAGAAGCAGTGGGAATGGAATGAGGGAGATGGGATTCATAGAATTTGTGCAGAGAGTGGGGGAAAAAAGGTGGGGGGAGGAGTGACCAGCGACCACGAGTTACAGTTGGCAATGCGGGTGATCAATGTTGCCTTTTTTCCTTTCAAAAAGAAGAGGAACAAAAGCATCAGAGGAGAGAGAGAGAGAGAGAGAGAGGAGGATGATGGAAGGAGAAAGTAGAAAGAACAAAGAAGAAGAAGGCAAGGTGGCCACTCTGATAGAGTGAGGGAGGGGCTAGTGGTAGGCCTCCTCGCCATGAAAGTGGGCGACAACTTTTGGAGCTGGAATCAAAATGTGCCTACAATTCTTTCGCTTTACTCCTCCCTCCTTCCTTTCCTTCCCTTTTTTTTTTAAATATTTTTATAATCTACATGCATACATATTGACTAGTTTCGCGAGTGATGTGATGATAAGAGAGAACATGGCAAGAGGTATCTCTCCTGTTTAGATGGGAAACAGTGAGTTTATGGTGCTACGAAAATCTTAGCTGTCAAAATCAGTTTATAGCCGTAGAATCATCAGCATAATGTATGGTTATAATATACAAAGACTAGTTTATATCCTAAAACTGCGCTGAATACTATACAAGATAGACGTAAAAACTAGATTAAAGGTTTGAACACGGAGTCCTACTCAAAAGGCTGGGAAAGAACACTAGAAGTGCCAAAAGTTGTGTACGGCGCTCACTTTGGTGCCAAAAGTTTCAATCGGATCACTTAAGTGCCAAAAGTTGAGAAAAATGATCACTTAAGTGCCATTTCGCCGGAAATCCGACGTGGCATTTTTTTATTAATTTCTCAAGCTGATGTGGCTCGCTGGAGGCTGATGTGGCTCGCCGGGGCTGACGTGGCATTTCTTTTCTTTTTTTTTCCATTTCTTTCTTTTTTCCTTTCTTTTCTTTTTTCTTATTTCCGATGGCCGGCGTCCGACCATCGGCCATGGCCAGCCTTGCCGGGCGTCGCCTTCCTCCCCGGCGAGGCCGCCGTGGCCTCGCCCGGAGGAAGGCGATGCCTCGGCGAGGCCGCCGTGGCCTTGGCGAGGGCTTGCCTCGCCGATCCGCCGAGGCCGGCCCTCGCCGAGGCCACGACTCGCCTCGCCGAGGCGTCGCCTTCCTTCGGGCGAGGCCGCCGTGGCCTCGCCGAGGCCACGATTGCCTCGTCGGGCCTCGCCCGGAGGAAGGCGACGCCCGGCGAGGCCTGCCATGGCCGGTGGCTGGCCTCCGGCCACCGGCCATGGTAGAAGAAGAAGAAGAAAGAAAAGAAAAGAAAAGAAAGAAAAAAAAATCAGAAAAAAATATTTAAAAAATTGAATTATACACGTGGAAATGCCACGTGTCATTAAAAATTAAATATAAAAGCCACGTATTAATTTTGGTCGGAATTTCTCGCCGTTGGCACTTAAGTGATTGTTTTTTCTCCAATTTGACACTTAAGTGATCGTCGGCGTAAACTTTTGACACTTAAGTGATCCAAATGAAACTTTTGGCATCAAAGTGAGCGCCGTACACAACTTTTGGCACTTCTAGTATCCTTCCCCCCTCAAAAGGCATAGTTTTCACCTTGAAGAACTTCTCCTGTAAGAGAAGAAATGGAAACGCGGGGAAGGTTAATAACTTAAAACGATGAGGGTCAGCTCAACGAAGCCAAAGAACAATTAAAGTTGGTGGCAATTGTTTTAGGATCGATTTTGGGAAGGTGAATTTGAAGGGGTTATGCGTTTAAACAAGATCGGTAAAGCGATACAAGAAAAGATGAAGACTCGCGTAATGCCTACTTGGAGAAGGGAAAAATACTAGAAAAGTCATAAACCTATTACATCCATATCAATTTAGTGTTAAACCTTTTAATGGGATCAATTTAGTCTTAAACCTTTTCACATTGATACCGATTCAGTCCATCCGGCCAATTTAAGTCGGAAATCGCTGACGTGGATACCGGCATCCTATGTGGCACGCATTGTTACATAAATTTATGACTTTTTTTGTATTTTTTCCGTTTGGAGAATGGTAAGATCCCAAGATAGAATTTGTTGACAGTGGGAAAGTATTACAAATCACTGATAATCGGGTGAATCGCCTTGTTACGTAAGTGGAGGGAGAGATTTCGAACAAGACTTCTCTGAAGAAAGATAGAAGAGCCATGACTCTGGTGACCATACAGGGAGGAGAAACTGGGACTTCTCTCCATCGGTAGGATCACATCAAATGGTGAACCTTAAGCTCATGTGTTTACACTCTGGTAATGGACAAGCTCATCGTGAATACTTAGAATGAAATTCCATCTTTGCTATTTTTCTATTTTAACTGAACGAAAAGAACGATAGGGAGATACCGACATGGAGGTCGGTTTGTCATCATGACCAAACCGAAGCACCGACTAGATACGAGGCCCCTGTAGTGTGGTTTTGGCTCGAAATGCCGCGTCAACGTGCCATGCCGACGCCATTTGCCTCGTCGACGAGGGTAAAAATCGAGACAGATGTATCACTTTGGCGGGTGTTGTAGATGGAAGATTATTTTGAGGTAAATACGTTCAAGCAACACCAATCTACGACTTCTAGTAGCAGTAACATTTTTAAGTTAGATCTCTCGGTCGCACCAAACATTCAATGGAAAAATAATATAATTATCTCCAATTTTGTATCCGATAGTTTCGAAAGAAAATATTAAAAATACAATGAACTCGACGATAGCGTATCCATTTTCATTTCCCTCGTATCGTGTACAGTATAAGGATACGGATATCTAGACTTCACATTCGCCATCTGGCCAAATATTTTCTTAATTTTAGGGGCCAATGAATTAATTTCTAGAGAGAGAGTAGAGGCTTTATTATGCAATAATTATCATGATCAGAGAGACTCATAGTCCCGCGTGCGTTGCACGTGCACCAAGGGAGACAATGGGGGTTTTAGAGAAGCCAGGGGAGGTCACTTTCTCCTCCGAACTCGCATCTGAAAAACGCCGAGAACCGCGACCGATCCGTTCCTGCAAGCAGCAGCAGGAGGAGGGCGGCGAGAGCGGAGCGAACCGCGCGCGCGTGTGTGATCGGGGGCTCGGCCGGAGGAGATGTGGTCCGGCGTTCGCGGCGGAGCCTCGAGGGCTGCGGCGAGCGGCGGCGGCGGCGTCGGCGGCGGCTTCGTCCGGTACTTCTCGCGGAAGCGAGCGGAGAACGTGAGGAAGATAAACCCTAAGGTCCCGCCGCAGGAGGCCTACTCCATCGCTCGCTCCCTCCACGACGTCATCCGCCTCCGCGGTCCCCTCACCATCCCCAACACTTGGACTCAAGCCTTGGTACTCTCCCTCTCCCTCTCTCCTTATGGATTGGGCTGCCTTGGTTGCAGATGTTCTTTCCCCGGTTAGATTTGGCTCTAGTGTGTGCGATTTATGAGCTCGAGGATGGCGCATTTTGAGCGCGCAGGTGGAGGATCGGTTTTTGCGCCTAGACGGTGTTTGATTGTGCGGATGCGCGGAGAAATGAATCTGCTGATATGCTGCCGTTCGGCGTTGCGTTTTGAAAGGGATAGCTAGGTTTTGCTGATAAAGGTTACTCCTTCGACGTTGGGCTTCGAGTAGATTAAGCCGGTTTAGCTAGTCTGGATCGTGTGGAGCTCATAGCGGAGTCCTGAGTGGAAAAGATTATAAAAAAAAAAAAGCGGGAAGAGAACTTAAGAGAAGCGAAACGACCACCGCACGAACCGTACGCTCTTGAATGTATTCGGTTAAGTGGCACGCTGCGTGGCCATGACAAGAGCTTGTTTATCTTTCACTCATATGATGCAAAAAGTAACGATTGATTGCGTAGACGTTTGAAGACTCTTCCTGTGGCTCCTAGTTTAGGTCTCTTGTTTATTTTAGCTCTTCTTTCATGATCCAAACCCTGGGGATGTGGTATTTTAGGACTTCTTTCGCGTATTGTTCAGTGAAGGCGGGACTAGTCTTTGTCGATACAATGAAGTCTACTTTACTCTGGCCTTGTCATTTTTGTGGGTGTGGATACATGAACCATGTGGTATAGTTTATCAACTCAATCATCACTTGTTGGATTTTCTTCATTCTGCTGACAATGATGAGTGCAACATCTTTGTTCCACTTGGGAACGGTTACCTGGAAAGCATATTACTCAAAATTTAAGGAATGATAAGCTATCTAAATCTTCTGTAATTGTATGGTGTGTCACGGTCTGCTTGCGTTTGCTTTCATCACAGGAAGCTGGCGTGAGCGGTTTGCAAAGCAAGACACACATGAAATTATTGCTCAAGTGGATGAGGGGAAGGAAGATGGTGAAGCTGTTCTGCAACCAGGTTGGTTCAAGCAAGAAGTTTCTTCTCTCTACCCTACCTGAAGAACCTCAAGGCGATCGATCAACAAGTACAGCGGAGTTGAACCTGCAAACTGAGAAGCCCTCCTTGCCCTCGAGGGGGAAAAGGAAAACCAAATAAATGTTTCATGAGCTTAGGTGGACTAGGGAAGCATTCATGCGGTATTTGTTTTTACGTCTGGCTATTTGCCTTCTTTTGCCATAGACGTCTTGATTCTAATTGGCTTCTGCGATTTGAAATGGAAATGGAATAATCCTGGGTTTTTAGGCCACTTGGGACTTCCTCTTCACTTTCTCTGGGGCTGGCCAGATTCATAGCTATTTCCTGTACCTCTTGTTCTTCGCCTTCATTTGCCAGACATCTAACTTCTCATTGGCTTCTGCGATTGAAATGGAATGGAATAATCCTGTCAAGTTTTAGGCCACATGGTACTTCTTCTTCATTAACTTCAGGGCCTGATAATTAGAATGTGATCCGATCTCACAATTAAAGTTTGCAAGTCTTTAGCATCACAACCAGTTTCTATCTCTTCCAATTAATGGTAGGTATTGAAGTTTAAAAGAGATTTCATTGAACGTAAGATGTGTAGAATTTTGTTTGTTCAGGCTGTACTAGTTGAGCAGAAGCAACCGATATGCTGTGGATATGAGAATAGCCATTTCAAGATTGAGAAGAAGATGCTGTTTCTACATCTTCATCAAAACTGGACTATTGTAGCCACTTAAAATTGTAGGGAAGGTGCAATCTAAAATAACCATGGAAACCTTCAAAATGGTCTTCGCTATCCAGGTTTGCAGATTTGCATGTTGAAAGCTGACAACCAAGAAGGAAGAGACAGAGAAAACTCCATGAATTAAAACCATGTGCATTGTGCTCTGCAGTGACCGCTTGTAGCTTTACAGTTTTGTGACAAATCCATGAGGCATTTAGTACTGTCTGGAATGAGCAATATGTGAGAGAACAAGTGCAACTGAAGAGAAAAAAGTCATCATGAGGATGATCTACAGTCAACTTTCAAGCAGAATTTTTTTTTCTAACATATGATGGTATACAGCTTTCTTCATCTGTGGTCGAGGAACCAATGACACTGTTTTTCGACTTCGTATACAAAGATGTGATTCCCTCATCTACTTGACAGTAGTCATTGAGATCTCCTGCGCATTACAATCGGCTACGGCTTTTTGGTTCTCCAGTTGTGCATTGTCAAGGCTCTCCTTCCTTTTGCCCCAGAGCACACAGTACAGCCCCAGAACAATGATACAAGCTCCTATTAGGCTGAGGAAAATGCAGAGACAGTGTTTAATTCTTTGCTTATACGGTCAATAGAAATATCGGATGCCATTTTATGTTCTGTTTTACCTGCCCAGATGAAACTGCTCTTCAAAGGCTACGGCTGAGAATATCCCCACGATCACGAGTTGTAACGGACTAAACATTGCCACAAACACCGGCCCTTTATGACTTATGCACCATGTTTGTAGATAGTACACTAGCGATGATGACACGACTCCCTGTGGAAGAAAATGGGCAAGATGAATCGATTTTATTGGATGGTGGAAATTAAAGCTACTTCAGGTCGAAAATCCTATGAAAATCCTCAAATATTGGCTCGATGTTGGTATTGGGTTACCAATCAAGAACCAGAATTTGAAAAGAATAGCAAAAGTAGTAGATAAAAATAGATAAATAAGAGAAGCACAACTTAGATTGAATTTACTATGAATAATATGTGGTGATGTGAAATTGTATTCACTAGACGAGCATACAGCGTAGATGATGGTCCAGAGCTGCACGTTCCACTCCAGCTTCCACAAGCTCCGATCTCGCGCGAAGAACAAGGAAAGGACGGAAGATTGCAGCGATGCGAAGACGCAAATCAAAGTAGTGAGGGACAAGGGAGCTGGATAGGCTTTGTATACGACAGCCTACAATCACATAACGCATGAAATTATTGAATACGATCTTCCTTCATCATGATTCGTCTGTATCAATAGAAGTTCAACATCAGCAAAATCACCTGGAGAATAAGCCATGCACTCCATGCAGTGTGACTGGTCAGGATAAGTAAAGAACCTTTGATCCAATTTTCTTTTCCATGCCTCAAGACATCAGAAGCTTGGCTGGTGTCATGAAGGCTTATCAATGGCTTCGTCAGAAGGCTTCTTATCAGGTACCCTTTCTTCCAGAAGGTAAACGTGAGAGACCCGCCGACACAGATAAGCGCGCCGAAAATCTTAGCTCGGCCACTAGCGTTCTTGATGCTGAGTTTCTCCATCCTGAATCAAGAACACAACCCAAAGAGGAATATTTCAGTGATCTAGTACAGAATCGAGAAATCGAAGACCGTTTCTTTGCACTGTGAAACAAGGTGTTACCTGAGCATAACTGCAAAGAGAAACGATATGCAAGGGATGACATTACTCAAGGCACTCGCGACGGTCGCGGAAGTGTACGCCAAGCCAGCATAGTACACATTGAGATGGATGGTGGTGCCGAGGGAGGAGAGCACGAAGATTTTGGCCATGACTTTGACCGAGAGCGAAGGGCGCTGCTTCCTGCTTTGTCCATGAACAGCTTTCCATGTCAGTGCAAAAAAACAGGAGATGCATATGACAGGACAAAGGGATTCTTTACCTTTCGAGCACAAAAGCGAGAGGGCCTAATAATAACACGGCGATCAAATGGCAGTAAACAATGAAGACGAGCCGATCGAGCCCGTTCTCAAGAGCGATCTTCATGAGAATGTTCGAGCCTCCATAGGCCAATTGAACTAGCACCATCGCCACGTAAGAAGCACCATTTTCCATGACAGGAACACGAAGCAAGCCCTTTTTGTTCGCTTTTAGTTTCTGTCTATGGTTTGAACTGAATAGCTTGTGGAGGAGAAGCTTCAGGGAGCTCTTATACGAGTGGAAACAATTAGTTTTATAAACAGGGTAAGTGGAATTCACAATCAGTCAACTTGTATGCTAGGGAAGCAAAGCACCATGAGCCCGCCTTTTTTTCTTCCCAACCAAAGGAAAATATTTCTTATAGAGGCGGCATGAGAAAGCTCTTTGAGATGCTGGTGCTTCCTGTCGTATGAGATGTAACGTACTCCAATTGTGCTCCTCGATTCGACTATTTACCCTTCTCTCGCTTTTCGGGCCCCTCTATCGCCAAGTTCGTGGCATAAGGAATTAATCCGACACCGATCCGCGCCTCCCGCTGTAATGGTCTTTTGTCGCTCGCTCTTAGCACTCAATGTAATGACTTCATGTGTCTCTCTCTATTGGCATACCGCAAAACTTTTATGGTCCTAGGATCTTGGTGCGGCTTTTCAATTCTTTACCAGGAAAGCACACGGTGTGGCTTTGCCAGAAATCAATTGAAGTCGATCTAATCTTCATATTGATAAGAGCTTAGCTTGTCTGAAAAAGGAAAGGCTAATGAGTTTGGAAATGAAGAAGCAGACCAGGTAAGTACCAGGTACTGATGCCTCTCCAATTGACAAAGTTCTGTTCTTGCGCCTGAACTTTGCCAAGTGATCACTACTTGGTAGGGGTGAGTAGAGGTGGCAATATGAGTAAGAGATTCATTAATTAACTCATTTTTAATGGGCCCAGATTGAATATGGGTTTCTTGAAATGTTGAAAATGGGTCAAAATGGGTTTGCAACATTAAAGCCCAAGTTTTATATGGGTGCAAACCCATATTCAACCCATATTTGACCAATTTAAGTTATTAATGTAGCCTTGTAGGCTAAATAGTTTAAGTGTCATTTAAAAAAATATATTTTTATTTTTTAAAAAATCAAATTTTAAATTATTTTTAATTTTTCTTTTTCTTTTCTTTTCATTTTTTTCCTTTTTTTTATTTTTCTGTTTCCTCCTTCTTCGGCCGGTCGCCGGCCGGCAATCGGCCATAGCCAAGCTTCGAGCTTGCCGAGTGAGCTTAAGCTCCTCCAGATCGTGAGCTTGCCTGCGGTCGGTTGCCGGCGATCGGCCGAAGAAGTAGGAAAAAGAAAAAGAAAAAAAATTAAAATTTTCATTTTTAAAAAAGAAAAAGAAAAAGAAAATAAAGATATATAAAAATATAATTTTTTTTAAATTATAAAATTTTTCACTTATTTTATATTGCATTGAAGCATTTTAACAATATAAATATTTTAAGAAATAATTTTTTTCTAAATTGGATTTTATATTAAGGTCTTTTAGAATATGGGTTGGGTTGGGTATGGGTTGAGTATGGATTGGGTCGAGTATGGGTCATTAGATTTATACTACATAAATATGGATCAAAACAGGTTAAATGGGTTAATATGGGTCGGACCATTTTCGACTCGACCCAAACCCGACCTGACTCGACCCACCCTTTTAACACCCATAGGGGTGAGCATGGTCCGGGTTGAGCCTATTCAGCACCTAACCTAGGGATCAATCCGCAAAACATCGATCCCTAATTTTTGGGAGTAGGGATCGATCCTGTTGAGCCTGACACCAAGAACTAGACCGACCTAGGGGTCCGGTTTGGTTCCAAGGTCAATCTAGGACCAACCGATTCTTTTTTTGTTTCATTTTTTGTATTCCTTGAAATGTACTTTTTGAAATTACATATCCTTCGACAATATCAAAATCAATTTATAGGCATAGAAAAGATCATCAGCACAATGTACGGTTATCATATACAAAGCCTAGTGTATATCCTAAAACCGTCATTGAATACGATACAAGATAGACGTAAAACGTGGATAAAAGGTCTGAACAGGAAGTCCGACTCAAAAGGCCTAGTTTCACCTCGAAGAACTTCTCCTATAAGAGAAGAAATGGAAACGCGGGGCAGGTTAATAACTTAAAACGATGAGGGGCATCTCAATGAAGTTATGCCAAAGAACAATTAAAGTTGGTTGCAATTGTTTTAGGACCGATTTTGGGAAGATCAATTTGGAGGGGTTATGCGTTTAAACAAGGTTGGTGAAACGATACGAGAAAAGATAAGAAGACTTGCATAATGCCTTCATGGTTTGGAGAATAGTAGAATTCCGAGATGGATTTTGTTGATGGCGGGAAAGTATTACAAGTTGCTAATAATCGCGTGGATGGCCTTGTTACATAAATGGAGGGAGAGATTTCGAACAAGACTTCTCTCAAGAAAGATAGGCACGATATTTCCAGATATAAACTGCATGTATACAAGAGTCATTAACTCTGGTGATGATACCGGGACGAGAAACTAGGGACTTCCCTACATCAGTAGGATCACATCAAGGTTGAACCTTGAGCTCAAGTGTTTACACTTTCGCAATGGACAAGCTCATCATGGATATTTAGACTGAAATTCCACTTTACTTTTTTTTTTTTCATTTTAACTGAACGAAAAGAATGATAGGGAGATACCGACACGGAGAAGACTTCTTCACATGGGTCGGTTTGTCATCATGACCAACCGAAGTGCCAACTAGATACAAGCTCTTTTAGGGCCCGTTTGGTTTGACTTTTCGGGAATGCATTTGAGGGAATGCAAATACTTTTGGGCTAAAGGGATTTTTCGAAATGCAAGTAGTGTTTGGTAAGTGTTTTTTAAAATCAACTTGGGCTAAAGGACTTTTGCTAATTTAAAAAAAAAAAAAAAAGCTCTGGTGGAGCTAAACCGCCGGCTACCGCCACCGGTCAAATCTGGTCGCCGGCCAACCGCCGACAGCCAGATCTGGTCGCCGGCCACCACCGCCTGGGGTCGCGCGACCCCGGCGACCGCCGCCTGGGGTCTCCGGACCTCGGGCGTCGTCGGGGTGGCGCGACCCAAGCCAACGCTTGGCCTAGGTCGCGTGACCCAGGCAACGCTTGGCCTGGGTCGCGCGACCCCGGCGACGCCCGAGGTCCGGCGACCCCAGGCGGCGGTCGCCCGACCCCCAGGCGGCGGTCGCCGGGGTCGGGCTAGCCCTCAGACGGCGATCGCCGGACCTCGGTCTGGGGAAGATGAACAGTATCGATGAACAGTGCAAGTTGCATTCCGAAAATGCAACTTCCCAAAGCACCTCCGGTGGAGCATTGGCCAAAGGTCCCTTGGGGAACATTCCAAATGCAATTGCATTTCCCCAAAGTGAGTAAAAAAAATTGCCAAACACCATTTGCATTTGACCAATGGACTTTAGAGCCCAAATGAGCATTCCAAATGCTGAACCAAACGGGGCCTTAGTGTGGTTTGGCTCAAAATGCCACGTCAACGTGCCATGCCGACACCGTTGGCCTCGTCAACGAAAGTAAAAATATGAGACAGTGAGACCACTTTGGCGGATTTTGTAGATCAAAGTGGTAAATGTGTTTGAGCAATACCGATTTAGGACTTTTAGTTGTATTAACCTTTTTAAAGTTAGATCTCTCAGTGGCATTAAATATTCAATGGAAAAACAATATAATATTTCTAATTTTGTATCCGATAGTTTCATAAGAAAATGTATAAAATATAATATAGTGTATCTATTTTCATTTTCTTCATGTCGTATATAGTCTAAGGTTATAGATATGTAGACTTCACATTTGCCGCTCTAGAAAAAAATTTCATGATCTGGCAAGTCGAGCTCACCCGAGGCCAAGGAATCTTTTCAAGCAATTTTTTTGTTTTTTGATTTTGCATGACTGTTCGAGAGTATTTATCTCGTATATCATTTTTTGATTTTTATATGAGGAGACGGGTTCTATGGCGCTTCTAGATAGGAGGAGTCTTATCAAAAGAGAACAAGTCTGCAGAGTTAGTAAAGCTTAAATACACATAGATTTAGGCTCCGTTCGTTTGGTGAAAAATGTTTTCCTCGAAAACATGATATGGCTTTTTGACTAGAATGCGTTGTAAAATCTATTCACTTAGACACATGCGACTTATATTTCGAACGCAAGGCTAGCTTTCCATAGCCTCTCAAGAAAAAATTTGAAATTTTGTCATTTATTTACCATGTTATATTTTTACCTTTGTTTTTGCTAAAGGGTTGGTAATCATGGGTTATTAAAAAAAAGCTATATCTCAATTATCCAGTAAAAATGCCAAAATGGATCTAGAACTCATATTTTGACCCGTATTAGTCATAAGTGGGTTGCCTTAAGTTTTGAAAACAACCTTAAATGGGTTAAATGGTTTTGTTAACGACTAAATGGGTTTTAAATGTATCATAAATGGGTTAGTTAAGTGAGTCATAGATAGGGTAAGTCATTTTATAAATTCTTTTAATTTTCTGATTTTTAATTTTTTTTCCTTTTTTTTCTAAGAAATCTGGCAAGGGTCACTAGCCGGTCGCTAGTCGTCGATCACCAATTGTCGGTTACCACCGGCTGTCGATCGTTGCCGTTCCTCGGCCGGCCGGTCGCCTGTCACTAGTCGTCGGTCTTCGCTAGTCACCAGTCACCAATCGTCGTGCGTCATCGGACGTAGAAGAATAAAAAGAAAGAAAAAGAAAAAATTTTAAAAATCAGAATTTTTTTAAAAATTGTAAAAATTGTCCACAATGTTTTAGCGATATATATTTTTAAAAATTTATAATTTTTTTTTCTAAATTGGATTTACTATTAAAGTCTTTTAGTAATATGGGTCGGATATGGGTAGGGTTGGATATAGGTTGCTAGAATTGTGTTGTATTGAAATGTGTCAATACGGGTTAAACGGATCAATATGGGTCGGACCATTTTTGACCAAACTCAAATCCGACCCGACCCGACCCACCCATTTGACAAGTCTAAACAGAAACAATCGATATGCTACGGATATGAGAATAGCCATTCGAAGACTGAGAAGCAGATGATGTTTCTACAGACAATCAATTTAGAATAGTTTCATCGAAATTAGTACTATTGTAGTTAGGGGTGAGCATGGTTTCAGGTTCTACCCTAGAATTTGAGAAATTGACCTGCGGGAACCTATAGGTTCCAAGTTCTAAGGTATGCAAGGTAGGTTCCAGGTTCCAAAAATTAAGGAACCTGTTTCGACGGGTAGGTTCCACGTTCTAGTTTTAGGTATGTGAAACTTGGAACCTTAAACCTTAAACAAGTTTTTTTTTTATGTTTTTTCTTTGTCTATGTCTTCGCGTGATCCTGCGGTATTCGATGGCATTAGATAACAAATATATAATCTACAACCACTAGTCCGAGCTTTCATTTTATGACTTGTTAATGTTTCATATTCTTCGTGTGTCTAAATATAAGTTGTGATCAGTGGATCATAGCAGTAAGTGGTTGTTATTAAAGATGATGATTCACTACAATTGTTTAATTAATAATACATATGGAATCTGAATAGATCCAGCAACCGATCCTATAACCTGTGACAAGATAGGTTCCAGGTTCCAAAGTATGTAGAGTAGGTTACAGGTTTCCCACGGGAAGGTTCCAGGTTTTAGGTTCCAAGTGGAACCTGTACGAACCTGCAACCGCTCACCCTAATTATAGTCACTTAAAATTGTAGGGAAGGTGCAATCTATCATAAGCATGTAATCTTCAAGAAGGCCTTAGCTGTCTAGGTTGAAGATTTACATGTTGATAACTGAAAACCAAGAAGAAAGAGACAAAAAAACTCCATCGATTAAAACCATGTGAATTGTGCTCTGCATTCACTGCTTGTAGCTTTACAGTTTTGTGACAAATCCACGAGGCATTTAGTATTGTCTGGAATCAGCATTGTTTGAGAAAACAAGTGCAACTGAAGAGAAAAAAGTCTTCCTGAGGATGATCTACGGTCAACTTTCAAGCAGAAATTTTTTCTAACATCTGATGGTATACAGCTCTCTTCATTGGCAGTCGAGGAACCAATGACACGGTTTTTCAACTTTGTATACAAAGATGTGATTCCCTTATCTACTTGACAGTAGTCACGGAGATCTCCTGCGTATTACAATCGGCCACGCCTTTTTGGTTCTCCAGTTGTGCATTGTATAGGCTCTCCTTCCTTTTGCCCCAGAGCACACAGTACAGCCCCAGAACAATGATGCAAGCTCCTATTAGGCTGAGGAAAATGCAGAGACAAAAAGTTGAATTCTTTGGTTAAGACGGAATCAGCATCTGCGGATTTACACACAAGAGCGTGCTTGTGTTACCCACATCAAACATGCCACAAATATGAGATGGCGTTTTATGATCTGTTTTACCTGCCCAGATGAAACTGCTCTTTAAACGCTACGGCAGAGAATATCCCCACGATCACAAGTAGCAACGGACTAAACATTGCCGCAAAAACCGGCCCTTTTTTACTTATGCACCATGTTTGCAGATAGTACACTAGCGATGATATCACGACTCCCTGTGGAAGAAAATGGGTAAGATGATTCAATTTTATCGGATGGTTGAAACAAGTCCCGCTTCAGGTCGAAAATCCTATAAAAATGCTTGAATTATGCTACGACTTTGATTGGCTAGTGATGTCGAGATTGTAGGTTATTAATCAACAACCAGAGTTTGAAAAGAACGGGAAAAGTAGCAAATAAAAAGAAAGAGAAAAGCACAACTTAGATTGATTTCACTAAGAAGAATACGTGATGATGTAAAATTGTATTCACAAGACAAGCTTACACAGTAGATGATGGTCCACAGCTGCACGTTCACCCCCAGCTTCCACAAGCTCCGATTTCGCGCGAAGAACAGAGAAAGGACAGAAGATTGCAGCGATGCAAAGAAGCAAATCAAAGTAGTGAGGGACAGTCGAGCTGGATAGGCTTTGTATATGACAGCCTACAATCACGTAATGCGCTAAGTTATTAAATTCCATCTTCCTTCATAATTCATCTGTATCACTAGAAGTTCAACATCAGCAAAATCACCTGGAGAATAAGCCATGCACTCCATGCAATATGACTGGTCAGGATAAGTAAAGAACCTTTGATCCAATTTTCTTTTCCATGCTTCAAGACATCAGAAGCTTTACTGGTGTCTTGAAGGCTTATCAGTGGCCTCTTCAGAAGGCTTCTTATCAGGTACCCTCCCTTCCAGAAGGTGAACGTGAGAGACCCGCCGAGGCAGATAAGCGCGCCAATAATCTTAGCTCGGCCACTAGCGTTCTTGATGCTGAGTTTCTCCATCCTGAGTCAAGAACACAACCCAAAGAGGAATATTTCGGTGATCTAGTGCAGAATCGGGAAATCGAAGACCATATCTTTGCACTGTGAAACAAGGTGTTACCCGAGCATAACTGCACTGAGAAACGTTAAGCAAGGGATGACATTACTCAAGGCACTCGCGACAGTCGCGGAAGTGTACGCCAAGCCAGCATAGTACACATTGAGATGGATGGTGGTGCCGAGGGAGGAGAGCACGAAGATTTTGGCCATGACTTTGACCGAGAGCGAAGGGCGCTGCTTCCTGCTTTGTCCATGAACAGCTTTCCATGTCAGTGCAAAAAAACAGGAGATGCATATGACAGGACAAAGGGATTCTTTACCTTTCAAGCACATAAGCGAGAGGGCCTAATAATAACACGGCGATCAAATGGCGGTAAACAATGAAGACGAGCTGATTGAGCCCCTTCTCAAGGGCGATCTTCATGAGAATGTTCGAGCCTCCATAGGCCAATTGAACTAGCACCATCGCCACGTAAGAAGCACCATTTTCCATGACAGGAACACAAAGCAAGCCCTTTCTGTTCGCTTTTAGTGTTTCTGTCTATGGTTTGAAGTGAACAGCTCGTGGAGGAGAAGCTGAGTTCTTATATGAGTGGGAACAATTAGTTTTTTATAAACAGGATAAGTGGAAATCACAATCAATCAACTTGTATGCTAGGGAAGCAAAGCATTCCAAAGGAACATTTTTTTCTTCCCTTCCAAAGGAACATTTTTCTTATAGAGGCAGCAGGACAAAGCTCTTTGTGATGCTGGTGCTTCCTGCCGTACGAGATCTAACGTACTCCACCAATTGTGCTCCTCGAACGACTCGATTCGACTATTTACCCTTCTCTCACTTTTTGGCCCCTCTATCGCCAAGATCGTGGCATAAGGAATTAATTCGACACCGACCACACGTCCCACTAATGGTCTTTTCTCGCTCGCTGTTAGCGCTCAATGTGACAACTTCATGTGCCTTTCTCTATCGGCGTATCGCAAAACTTTTACGGTCCTGGGATTTTGGTGCAGTTTTTCAATTCTTTACCAGGAAAGCACACGGTGCGGCTTTGCCGAAATCAACTGAAGTCGATCTACTCTTCATATTAATAAAAGCTTAGCTTGTCCGGCAAGGAAAGGTTAATGAGTTTGGAAATTAAGAAGCAGACCAGGTAAGTACCAGGATTGATATGCCTCTCCAACTGACAAAGTTCTATTCTTGCGCCTGGACTTTGCCAAGTGATCACTACTTGGTGGGGGTGAGTATGGTCCGGGTTGAACTGATTCAGCACCTAACCAAGGGACCAACCCACATAGTATTGGTCCCCAATTTTTAGGATCGCGAACCGACCATGTTGAGCCAAGGACCGAGGACTGGACCGACCCAGTTGGTCTGGTCCGGTTCCAGAGTCAACCCAAGACCAATTGATTCTTTTTTTGTCTCATTTTTTGTATTCCTTGAAATATACTCTTCAAAATTACATATTCATTGACAATGCGATATTGAGCAACCAAATAGTGAACATAGATACAAATCAAATAGAAATCTAAGATAAGGTGACAATAGAAATTTCCACTTGCCAAAAGCAACAAATCATAGAAGATGAACACGTGAAATAAAAAAAAACAGTAGAAAGTTCAATAAAATACGTAACATAAAACATGAATTATAGAACTTCATATATTGTTCATTCACAAAAGATTGTTTTAAATTTTGAACACCTAAAAACAAAACAACAAACATAGTACTTAACAATAGTTTAAATTGAAATTACTATTAGTGCAATTGATACAACATCTCACCACTTATATGATGTCCTCACTCCTTCAAGCGGAACTAGTGTGGCGTAGCCATCGCTATAACTAGATCAACAACTCGTAATTGCCTCTTTGTCTGCAAACCTCGAATTCACCAAACTCAAAGGAGAAAACCACTAAAACATTAAGTCCAACTTATCCAAAACATGGAGAGACATCTCCGACCGCCAATTACAACCAAGCGAAACACTCCATTCCAACAAAGTTAAGCCCGTCATTCACAACGCCTCGTAATGGATGAACGGGAAAAAAAAACAGAGATGAAATAGTGAAAAGAATCAAGGACACACCTGTAGTAGCGGAGATAAAACCGATTCAATCATCGGAGGTAGAAGCGTGAAAGGGAGAGGAAGAGAATTGATCGTTAAGTTCAAATTAGTAGAGAGAAGATAAAGAGACTGCCCTCAAAGCCCTAGGACTAGGGACCAACCTGCAAAGTATAGGTTCCAACGGCCCCTAGACCAAGGATCGGCTTAGTCCCCCTGTGAATCGGACCAGGACCGGCCGGTCTAGGGTCAATCCTGGACCAATGCTAACCCCTACCATTTGGGAGAATGATGCGATCAAATGATATGATAACACTATTCTCTCTTGAAAGAGCTAGCGAAATTAACTATCTGCGCTTTTGTGCGATTTTTATTATCTCTAATTGATCAATCTTTTATGGGGTTTTTTATTGTCCGGTTATATGGTGATTCCAAGGAAATGAATAAGGGAAAATGACCCTAAACTTTGGCCTAATGTGTAATATAGTTCTTGAAATTTTAATTTATTCAATATTGTCCATGAATTGTAACCTAATATGTAATATGATCCTTGAACTTTTAATTTGTTCAATGTGGTCTTTGGATTTTTGGTACATATTCAATTTAATCCTTGAACTATGTGAAAAAGTTCAATGTCGTCCCTGAACTTATATTAATTGAAGGATAATATTGAACATTTTCATCTACTTCAGGGACCAAGTTGAATATCTACTAAAAGTTCATGGACCTCATTAAACTAATTAAAATTTAGGGACCATATTACACATTGAGCTAAAGTTTAGCGACCGCATTGAACAAATTAAAAGTTCAAGAACCACATTGCACATTGGACCAAAGTTCAGAAACTATTTGTGTTAATGAAGAAAGAATCTAGTATAGAAAAAAAGAGAGAATTAATCTCAAGTCAGTTCTTTACAAAGAGGATCATTGAGTAGACTTAAATTATGGTTGTAATGAAATTTAGGACTAAGTAACAAGAAATTGCGAATATCTTTATCGGATGTCTCCGATACACGGCTCACCACATATGCCTTAAATAGTTTGGGGAAAAAGAAGGGGGAAATTTCACTCTTTCGATTAAGTCTTAAATTTTATTTTCTTTATACGACGGCAAATTTCCATTTAAAATTAGATGGAAGTCGAAGAATCGGCATTGAAAATTGACACATGGCATCTAAATTTACAAGCCCCTGAGTGTAAATTACATATTTATATTTTTTGTCATCGTCCTTTTATGGTTTACGATTCTTATTATCCTTATATTTATTATAATTGTTTGAAGATATAAATGGAAAATTGACGGGAAGAAATGAAGCACGGAGGGACCAAAAAAAGAATACGAGGAAAAATAAGACATTTCCACCGTTTTCGGATGTCGCTATTCAGTCTTATAACCATGTAACCTCCAAAAAGGTCTTTGCTGTCTAGGTTACAGATATGCATGTTGATATCTGACAACCAAGAAGGAAGAGACAAAAAAACTCCATGAATATAAACCATGTGAATTGTGCTCTGCAATTACTGCTCGTAGCTTTACAGTTTCGTGACAAATACATAAGCCATTTAAGGTGCGTTTGTTCCACGAAAAATGTAACATTTTTGAAAAATATTTTCCGGAATATCATTTTCCAGGAAAATAGTTAGTTTTCCTTTATTTGGTGATATGTGATCGAAAATATTTTCTGGTGTCTGGATCTCATTTAGAAAATGATTTCAATCCCATGATTTTATCTTAGACAAAAAAAAAATTCGAATTTTTAAATATTTTTATTTTTATAAATAAAAAAGAAAAAAATAGAAAGAAAAGAAAAGAAAGAAAAGAATAAAATATTTAAAAAGTAAAGGGAAGCAATTCCGGAAAGTGTTTTCACTTTTCTTAGATTATGAAATTCATTTTTCTAATTTTATACATAAATGTTTTTCTTGATCGGAAAGTGTTTTCGGTTGACTAATTATTTTCGGCGAACCAAACGGGTGAAAGTCCGAAAACGGATTCCCGGAAAGCACTTTTTCTGAAACAAACGCACCCTTAGTATTGTCCTGGAACGAGCAATATTTGAGAGAACCAAGTGCAACTGAAGAGAGAAAAGTCAAACTGAGGCTGATCTCCAGTCAACTTTCAAGCAGAAAATTTCTTCTAACATCTGCCGGCATATAGCTCTCTTCATCTGCGGTCGAGGAACCGATGACACGGTTTTTTGACTTTGTATACAAAGACGTGATTCCCTTATCTACTCGACAGTAGTCACAGACATCTCCTGCGTATTACAATCGGCTACGCCATTTTGGTTCTCTAGTTGTGCATTGTAAAGGCTCTCCTTCCTTTTGCCCCAGAGCACGCAGTACAGCCCCAGAACAATGATACAAGCTCCAATTAGGCTGAGGAAAATGCGGAGACAAAAAGTTGAATTCTTTGGTTAAGACTGAATCAGCGTCAGTGGATTTACGCACCAGAGCGTGCTTGTGTTACCGACATCAAACATGCTACAAATATGAGATGGCGTTTTTGTGATCTGTTTTACCTGCCCAGATGAAACTGCTCTTTAAACACTACGGCTGAGAATATCCCCACGATCACGAGTAGCAATGGACTAAACATTGCCGCGAAAACCGGCCCTTTTTTACTTATGCACCATGTTTGCAGATAGTACACTAGCGATGATATCACGACTCCCTGTGGAAGAAAATGGGCAAGATGATTCAAATTTGTTGGATGGTTGGAATAAGTCCCGCTTCAGGTCGAAAAATCCTATAAAAATCCTTGAATTATGAGACGACTTTGATTGGCTCGCGATGTCAAGATTATAGGTCATCAATCAAGAGCCATAGTTTGAAGGGAACGGGAAAAGTAGCAAATAAAAAGAAAGAGAAAAGCACAACTTAGATTGATTTTTACTAAGAAGAATATGTGATGATGATGTAAAAAGGTATTCACAAGACAAGCTTACACAGTAGATGATGGTCCAGAGCTGCACGTTCACCTCCAGCTTCCACAAGCTCTGATTTCGCACGAAGAACAGAGAAAGGACAGAGGATTGCAGCGATGCAAAGAAGCAAATCAAAGTAGTGAGGGACAACCGAGCTGGATAGGCTTTGTATACGACAGCCTACAATCACATAACGTGCTAAATTATTGAATACAATCTTCCGTCATCATAATTCGTCTGTATCAATAGAAGTTCAGCATCAGCAAAATTACCTGGAGAATAAGCCATGCACTCCATGCAATGTGACTTGTCAGGATAAGCAAAGAACCTTTGATCCAGTTTTCTTTTCCATGCCTCAAGATATCAGAAGCTTGGCTGGTGTCATGAAGGCTTATCAGCGGCCTCTTCAGAAGGCTTCTTATCAGGTAACCTCCCTTCCAGAAGGTGAAAGTGAGAGACCCGCCAAGGCAGATAACCACGCCAATAATCTTAGCTCGGCCACTAGCGTTCTTGATGCTGAGCTTCTCCATCCTGAGTCAAGAACACAACCCAAAGAGGAATATTTCAGTGATCTAGTGCAGAATCGGGAAATCGAAGACCATTTCTTTGCACTGTGA